TAACTGCAACCCACAACATACACAAGTACTGGGCTCTGAAAACAACACCTGTAACTAAACCACCACAGGACAAGTCTGTAAATCCAACATAGAAAGAAAAGTGCAGCACTGGAGAGGTAGAGGCAGGCAGATCTCTAAGTTGGAGGTAACCCTGGTCTACAAAGAGAGTTCCAGGACAGCCAGGGTTACTACACAGAGAAGCACTCTTCCAAAAAAACCTAAAACCAAAATCAAAACCAAAAAACTAACAAAAAAAAATTGGAAGGAAGAAAAGAAGGAAAACAGCTATTTCTGGCCATCTCATCCACTCCAGTTCATAGAAAGCAGATCACAAGGCATGTGTGCAGTCCAAAGGTACAGCCCTATCACCAAGGTAGCGATGGCTACTCTTGGAGGAAGAAGCAGCCCAGGAGCCTTGTTTTGGTGAAGAGTCCACTGCTTGGCAGGAGGATCGATAAGAGCACTTGTCATCTGTTGACTACAAACAGCTCCACTGTGACAGACATAGGAAGAATGCCCCGACAAGGAGCTGGGACCTAACACCTGCCTGAAGCAAGCACAGAGCATGGCTGCATACGGTCCCTAGGAGCCCACGGTGGCTGCATGCGGTCCCTAGGAGCCCACGGTGGCTGCATGCGGTCCCTAGGAGCCCATGGTGGCTGCATGCGGTCCCTAGGAGCCCACGGTGGCTGCATAGAGCCTGAGGACATTCCTGTTGGTCCAGATGAGAAGGGGCTGTTCCTATAGCAAAGAGCACTCCCCTCGGTGGACACCTGCACTGACAAGTGGGTCCATTCAATGGTCACCTCAGCTCCCTGCCAACTGCACCAGGAGCACCAAAGCTCCTTGCCTCTGAAACACAGTTGGCTTTTCCCTCACTCTCCCACAAAACTAATTTTATATACCTACAGTTATAAGGCAAAGTCTTAAATTTAACAAGAACTAAATATTCCATCAGTATCAAACTGATAAGTTATTTAGAAAAGGGCTCTATGAGCCGGTCATGAAAATACAGCCCAATACAGAGCCTGGGAGCCTCTAGAAATGAAATCACAGTGGTTTCTCTAAATTCTTTCCTGAACCAAAAGATCACCTTTATCCAAGTATTTCATTTTGAATCACCACAGCCAGAAAAGTCAGGAGGATATGTGGGAGCTTCGGCACTAGCGAGGACACAGGCAATGGGCCAGGCACCACTGGCATTACAGGTTACAGTCAGTTCTCGGCTCCTTCTGCTATGAAGATTAACACAGCCATCGACTCCCACCCACGCCGACGTGGAGGCTCCTGGGATTTCAGCAGATATGAATGGAATGACCTCACTGCAGACTGCCCGGCCTCTGCGAGCGGTGTGATGAGGCATACAGAGGAAGGGAAAACTGAACCAAGGGTCTTTCCATCAGGTCCTGGGATTTAATAGCATCCCCATTGTTTTGCTGCAGATGGCACATCAACCTCCCTTTATTATTGCAGAGGCACAAGAGCTCTGCAGAGTGCAGTAAAGCGGTGCGTGTTTAGCTCTGCAGCGTTACAAAGGATCCTGATTTACAGCTGGGACCAGGCACCTTGCACCACACATCTGAGCTGGGTAATTACCTCTTGTTCTGTGCGAACTCCTGCCTGCAGCATGAAGTCTGCACTGCTGAGAGGCTCTGCATTGAAGTCGGGCCTCCTTCTTGATCCTCCTCTCATACAAAGTATCTAAGCTGAGGAGCAGACAATACACTACAAGCTCTTACAGCCCATCCCTGCATTTGACACTCTCCAGCCAGAGGCATCATGGTGACAAATGCTACTTTAGGCTTGTTTCTACAGTGGAGGAGCCCCCCAATGGCATATATCAAGAAACTCTGAGGCACTTCTACCACACCTAAAACTGAATGCATCAGTTCTGGATTCAAGAAGAATCTAGTCCGTATTTATGGCTGAAGGAGAGCGTCCTGGATATAGGGAGAGACAAACAGCCTCTTACTAAGCTGCAGTTCCACTGGGTGCAACAACCCAACTAGAGCCCACTTGTGTCTTACACTGACATCTCCTGAGCATCCTGGAGTCCTGAAACCATTTCCACCGCAAACCATTCGTTGTTCAGGTCTGTGTCTGAAACTTGCTGCCTTTAACCAGTTCTCCCCAACTTGAAACCCCTGGAAGGCGGCACCCACTGTCCCAATGCAGCTCCTCCACTGCCGCAGCTCACACGTGACTCAGTACTGTCCTCGTGCCTGGATCGTTTATTGCATGTAAAAGTGACTGGAACAGATCTGCTCCGGGACAGAGACTTACACTGAAAGTGGGCTGGAAAGATGGCTCAGCAGTTAGGAGCACTGGCCAGGTTCACATGGCAGCCCCTAACCATCTGTACCCTAAATCCACCTGAGCTCAGAGGGCACCGCATATACACGGTGAGCAGCACATGCACAAAAAATACACAAAAAATAGTTTAAGAAAAAAGAAACAAGCTATATATGGTGGCACACACCTTTAATCCCAGCACTTGGGAGGCAGAGACAGGCAGATTGTAGGTGGAAACTGCTTATTCATTTCCTGAATGCTCAGACCCAAATAATCAGAGAGAAACTATATTAATTACAACACTGTCTGGCCAATAGCTTAGGAGTATTTTTAACTAGCTCTTACATCTAAATTAACCCATTTTTATTAATTTATGTATCACCACAAGGCTGTAGCCTACTGGTAAGGTTCCAGTGTCTGTCTCCTTTAGAAGCTACATGGTATCTCCTTGATTCTGCTTGTTCTCTCTCTAGATCGCTACCAGTCTGGCTATATTCTGTCCTGCCATAGGCCAAAGCAGCTTCTTTATTAATCAATGGTAATAAAACATATTCACAGCATACAGAGGGGAATCCCACATCATGTCCCCTTTTCTATCTAAATAAAAAGGAAGGTTTTAACTTTAACATAGTAAAATTACATAAAACAAAACAGGTATCAAGCAAGAATTACAGTTACAGTATATCTAATTTACTTTTTATCATACCTAGGGAAACTATAACTATATGTCTTGAACTCCATCAAAGACCCCAGAAGGATATAATATTACCTAAGTAACCCACGCCAGCAGATCTCTGTGAGTTCAAGACCAGCCTGGTCTACAGAGTGAATTCTAGGACAGCCAGAGAGATACACAGAGAAACCCTGAAGAAAGATAGGAAGGAAGGAAGGAAGGAAGGAAGGAAGGAAGGAAGGAAGGAAGGAAGGAAGGTAGGTAGGTTGGTTTCCTACTTTGGGAGATTCTGCTAACTGTGTGCTAGTGTGAACTCGCTAACACCCAAACTTCATGCCAAACTAAGTGACTAATAAAGCTGGCAAAAAAAAAAAAAAAAAAAAACACACACACACTCGTGGAATAAACGTTATTAATACGCTGAAATCTTAATGTGTAACCTGAATGATTACCTCCTTGTAGAGAAATTCTCTAAGAGAACAACAACTAGAGCAGCAGAGACTCCGCAGGAACATCAGAAGATCTGAAGCCATCTGCTAACACGCAACTGGAGGTTTGAGTGTCGTGGTCTGATACACCCTATCCTAGACAAGAAAGCAATGGTGCAAAGACGACCCAGGAAAGGCCGGATCAGCAGAGTCAAAGGCAGGTCCTCTCCATGCACTGCACAGAAGCTAACAAGGCCACTCCACCCACGCTCCCTTCAGCACTGGCATGACAAACACCTGCAAAGCCTTCAAGGAAACCATTCTTTCACTGGGTCACTGGCATCTCAGTTACTTTTAAGGGAATCTCTCAATCCTAACCCAACTGCCAAATGCATTGCACTCTCTGGGATTTGTATATAAACCACCAAAAATAACATATTTGAAAGACAAAAAGCAAACCCCTGAGATCCTGTCTTGAAAAGGAAAAAGGCTCAAATGTAAAACACGAAGATTCAGAACTCTCTCCAAATGATTAGGAACCTCCCCACCAAATGCTATAGCATAAATTACCCAAGAGCATTGCTACAGACCAGAAGACATGTATTTGTGGCTATTCTCTTCCTGAAGAATGTAAGTAATGGACAAGAGACACCTGGGCAGGCAAGGATTCAGTGGTGAAGTTCTGACAATCCTTTGCTTCTCTCATGCTTATTACAGCTAAACGGTGAAGGCCAGCTGGTCAGATCCTTAAGGGGAGCACGGCTAGGGCAACCTGCTCACCACAACTGCCTCCACACCGGAATCATGCTTCACAAAGGCGTTCCCATCAACACCTCAAATTCTAATTTCCTCTTAAACTTACTAAACCTTCAAACCAGTTAGTGAGAAAGGTAACGGAAAGAGGTCTTTGGGTTGTTGCCTATAAGCTTAGGATCTTACAGGCAACGTGACACAGTTAACTCCGTGTCAGTTTTCTTCAAAAATAAAAACTACAGAGAGATAACAACAAAGCATATTAGTTGGCAGCTGACTCTCACCTTCTGTATTAAGGTTAAACACATAACAGGTGTCACCCTCGGAGTGCTAGGTGCTCTCCCCTACATCTCAGCATCTAAGGCAGCAAAGCTCTACCCAGTTGATGAAGAAAAATTATTGAAAATTCATTTTTTGTGCAAAATTAAAATCTTAAAGAACACTTAGCCAGGTGGTGGTGGCACACACCTTTATTTAATCCCAGCACTTGGGAGGCAGAAGCAGGCAGATCTCTTGAGTTCAAGGCCAGCCTGATCTACAGGGTGAGTTCCAGGACAGCCAGGGCTACACAAAGAAACCCTATCTTGAAAATTTAAAAACCCTTTCTCTTTTATAAAAGTTTCCTAGAGGAAAGTTTCACCAAATAAACAGAGCACTGTATAGACCACTCACAAGCACCACACACTTCACAATGAAAAGGCTGCTGCACAGGGGCTGACGGTGATGGCGACAGTGACAGGAGGCCTTGAAGAACAGCAATTACTGGATGATCTGAGGTGACGCCAAGGTTCTCACTCAGGTTTAAACCAAGGAACCCATGATTGAGGAAGGAAGGGCAAACACAGCAGGCTTACCCTTGGTTGCCAGTTCTCATACTGTTTCTGCAGATTTGCACCGATGGTTTCCAGAGCTTTCTGAGGACCCATAGACAGAGGATCTGTAAAAGCAACAAAAGGAAAATTCAGTAAACGAGCACATCCTCTTTTGGAAAAGCTCTTGCATGGAGCTTCCTCTTCCACAGTACAGTCACCTTCGGCAAGACCCGCGTCCAGGCCTGTTTTATCTGTACTTAACCAGAAGCAGAACTGATAACACAGTGGACGGCTCCACAGACCAGAAGACTATCCCTGCTTGTTTACTAAATGCTTCAGGGCAACCACTCCTCCACTGCAGTACCTGCCCTCCTGCCCATCCTTCTGCTCCGCTGCTGCTCACTGTCAGAGGCCCAGCTGTGCTTCTAGTGGGATTTCATATTAGAAGTGCAACCCGCCTGTGTGCAGAATTGGAAAGACAGAAGGAGGGAAAAGGGGGGAGGGAGGGGGAGGGGCCAAAAGCGACACACAATCATCTTCATCTAGATTATCACTTGCACAAGCATACTCAGAGACCCCTGGTTTTCTGCTTAGTCACTGAGCTGCTTCTACACTAACAATCCTAAGTCTGCAGTTCTCACACCTGTCTGTCTCAGGACCCCTTGCCAGTCTTTAAACATCTGATGGCCCCAAAGACCATTTGTCTATAGATATATATCATATTAGAATATAAGAGCCAGGCAGGAGAATCGCAAGTTCAAGGCCAGCCTGTGCTACAAAGAAAATGTGCAAATGAGAGAGAAAAGGAGTATTTAATTCATAGAGGGAAAACTATTTTATCTTTATTCGTTCATTTAAATATGACAAACCTGGACTGGAGAGAGCTCAGCAGTTAAATGCACCTGCTCCTGCAGAGGACCTGTGTTCATTCCCAGCACCCTCATCACAGTTTACAACCATCCACAGCTCCAGTTCTAGAAAAGCCAATGCCTTCTGACCTCCTGCAACAGGCATGCATGCAGGACAGGCATACATAGGCGCAAAACACTCCTATGTATAATATATACAATAATCTTTTTAAAACCCAAATATGATAAATTCACTGTCTTAACATGAATATGATGAAAAATAATAATAGTCTCTCCAAAAATTTAGTGAGAACAGGCTGAAGGCAGAGCTCTCAGTGGGTAGAATGCTTTGCCTAGCGTGCATGAAGCCCTGGATTCCATCTTCAACACCACAAAAAAAAAAAAAAAAAAAAAAAAAAAACAGGCGTGGAGGTATAGACCTGAAAGGCGGAAAGATCAGAAGTTCAAGGTCATCCTCAGCTCCTCAGCTGTACACAAGGTCAAAAGCGTTGAAGTTGGCCACAGTCGCCTTGTCAAGCTTCTGAGTGGCCTTGCCATTCCTACACCCAAAGCACCGCGGACTTTCACAATGCTCATGCCTCGTTCATCTTCCTGGGCACATGAATCCTGGGATACTTATGTGAAAGGAGCCCCCTAACCAGAGTGTTTCCAGTGCTCAGGGCACAAAAATTTTCTGCTATCTTTGGAACTTGCTCTGTCAAGGGTGAGAGGGAAACTCAATCCAAAGGCTCACCATTAGCCACGACGTGAGCATGGCTGCCAGCAAGGGCTAGAAGTGGACTTTTCTGGGGAGGAAGGGGGTCAAGACAGGGTTTCCGTGAGTAGTTCTGGCTGGGTGCTGGGATTAAAGGCGTGTGCCAGCACCACCTGGCTCTTTGCTTCTTTTTTTTTTTTTTTTTTTTTGGTTTTTTTAGACAGGGTTTCTCTGTGGTTTTGGAGCCTGTCCTGGAACTAGCTCTTGTAGACCAGGCTGGTCTCAAACTCACAGAGATCTGCCTGCCTCTGCCTCCCAAGTGCTGGGATTAAAGGCGTGCACCACCACCGCCCGGCTGGCTCTCTGCTTCTTGTTTTGTTTTAACTGCAAAGATGTGGAAGAAAGGACAGCCGTCACTTCACCCCTTCAGAAGGCTCCAGCAGTACCATCAATCAGAAAGGTCAAAGGCTGAGCAAGCTGTTTCTATGGGAACATAAAAGTTCCCACAGTCCAGACAGGGCAAAGACAACAAGAAAACAACAACAACTCTGCCCAGAGAGAGCTTAGTTCCCCTTGGGGTTAACTGCAGAAACTCATGGACAACTGCACCACTGAAGCAAACGCATGTTCATAGACAAACATCATTAAAAGGCTTTTCATTATAAAAAATAAATCTTGGGCTGGGTGGTGGTGAAACACACCTTTAATCTCAGCTTTCGGGAGGCAGAGGCAGGTGGATCTCTATGAGTTTGAGGTCAGTCTGGTCTACAAAGCAAGTTCCAGGACAGGCTCCAAAGCTAGAGAGAAATCCTGTCTCGAAAAACCATGGGTGGGTGGGTGGGTGGGTGGATGGATGGATGGATGGTGGATGAATGCTCAATCAATCAATCAATCAATCCAGTCTCGGCCTGGAACAAGCAATTAAGAGCTTAAGAGCACTGGCTGCTCTTCCAGAATATCTGGGTTCAATTCCCAGCACCAACAAGGCAGCTCACAATCATCTGTAACTCCAGTTCCAGCGATCCAACACCATCACACAGACATACACAGGCAAAACAACAACACCAATAAAATAAATTATTAAAGAAATAAATTTTTCATGTAAGATGACTGTGGCCTCGTAAACCCCTGTCCTGTACGTGACACAAAGAGTCTCAATCTTACACAGTTCCTAGGCAACACCAGTCTGAAGTCACAGCCAATAATGACAGGCTCATTCCTGACCCCATCCTTCCGAAGGGACCACGCCACCCTGATAGGTAGCTTTCCATCAGACATCAGCAAAGACCTTCTTCCCGAGTGGGGAGATCTTGCCCTTCCTGCTCGTCATCCACAGCTTACAGTCATGTTCACAATCGGTATAAGAAAATGTCAGCAGCGATTGTAGTGCTCCATCCCTGTTCTCCGGGCGCCCAGCCTGCCTCTGCTCCACTCTGCACATCCTTTGTAGAGGATGAATGAATTCCAGGAAAGGCCACGTGGACCTGTGGGTGACAACAAAGGGCTGGCATCATCCTGTCATCTTGTCATGCCCAGACTGAAAGGCATAATGACGAAAATCTCCCCAAATTTATCAAAGACAAACACAGATTCAAAGAGCATAAATCCAGGAAAGCCCCACACAGACACACACTAACCACACGGCTAAGACAAAGACAAAGGACACCCATAAGAGAAGCCCAGTCACAGCCTGCCAGGATCAACAAAGCTCTGGGCTCCTCCACAACATTGAAAATCCAGACAAAATAGACCAGTGTCTCCAAAATTCCACACGAAAATGAGTTCAATCTAATATTCGAGTTTGGGGGAACAAATGAGGCCTTGTAAACATGGACAAAGTGTGTGCTTCATGTTCCTTCCCTTAGAAAGTGAACCACAAAGAAAATAAGTGAAAAAAAAAAAAAGAAAATAAGTGAATCTGGGGGAAGGGCGTGTGAGGTGTACGTGTGTGTGTGTGTGTGTGTGTGTGTGTGTGTGTGTGTGTGCGCGCGCGCAACTAGGCCTTCTGAGCAACAGGTCTAGGAACCGAGGTGCCAGCTGGGAATGAAAAGGGGCACCTGAAACAGCAACAGATCAGCAAGGACCGGTCTCAGCAGGGGGTGGGGGTGAGGGGTCTGGGTCATGCTGACAGCAGGTGGGAAGTTGACTGCAATAAGAAAAACCAAGAAAAGCTCATCCTAAACTCCAGCAGAGTAGCAGGGAGCCCTGCAACTGTGGGAACAGCACAGTCAAGAACAGAACCAACAGGAGCAGCCTTTCCCTAACAGGACCTTTAGTACTATTTGACTCTGTGTGCATGCTTCAGGTTAGACTTTTTGTTTTAAATAAGATTAATCAAAAACTTGGTGACAGGTTCTGTATCTGGAAGGGAACTTTACCCACAAGTATGTCAACATCTTCAGAGGACTCCTCAAGCGTGGGTGTTGGACCTCCCGTTTCTGGAAACTCCTGAAGGACCCTGGCACTAAGTGAAACCAAGTGAGGGGCTGTTCTTGCTACAGTCCCTTGAAGAGCTATGGGAAATCTGTTTGAGCACCACAAGACACGGCATCAGTCTTCATGTCTGTGTGTATGCGTGGACAGACAATCCTAGGATCTGAAAACAATCGAGGATCCCAACCATACACCACTGCTGACTAGACCGCAAGGCCGACTATATTCCTGCAAATCAGAAACGCTGATATGCGGTGGGGTCTCGACCTCCACTGCCCTAAAACTTGTTAGGTAGCTCACAGCCATCTTGAATGTCTGGCCTCCTGCCTCCACTTCCCCAGTGCTAGGATTACAGACATGTGTCAGCACACGCAGTCCCCGTGGTGCTGCAGGGCAAACCCAAGACTTGGCACACGCCTGACTGGAACTCCACCACCTGCCCTGAATCAGATTACAGTTAGAAGCCATCTATGCGGACTAACACGGAGAAACCTTTCCAGTATCAGGGCCACACTGTCTGTGGTGAACAGAACAACGTTCATCTGCCCACACTAACTGAGCAGCAACAATGAACTGGAGGCCTGTGGGTTCCTCTTCGGAAAGATAGGTCTGTCTGGCTAAGATAGGGCTCATCTTATCAGTGCATGTGGTTCTGATAAGCCACAGCGCAGGGAGGGCAGGAAAGTCAAGGGGCACTAGTTCCTAAGGTCTGGTCTACCAGGAGGAGGAAGGACTGAAGCTGGCCTCCTCTCTTGAACTTCAACCCCATACCTTCTTCCCCACTAAGGCTGCAGGCGCCCCTCAGTCCAGCGGCCCCCACAGTATAGAGCAGAGGCATTAGGGGCCTGTAGCACAGGTAGCCTATCCACTGCCCATTCTTTCCCTACTGGCCTCCACAGCTGATTTCCAGGGAGGGACCAACCAACCAAGTGAGTCTGTGCTGTGTAGCAGTTTCTCTGAGACTGAAACATTGTATATCCTTAGACAGAATGTAAAAACTCAAAACAGCTTCTAAGGCCCTGAAACTGACCAGATTCAAGAGGCCCTTCTTCCCCTGAGAGCAAGGTGCTCAAAGTCCCTCTCAGGGCCAGGCGGTTAAGAAAATTGAGACAGTCGAGCTTGACCACGT